GAATAAACCCTCTAATCGATCATCTTGACATTGAGATGTATTAATATGGAAAAAAAAAAAGTTTTGAGTCCCAGAAATAGTGCATCTTGCAACACATTATCTAAACTGTCCATTTTCAAGATTTACATACATTTATAGGTCTACTTGATTTTAACCATTTTTGAATTTAAAATTTTCTAATTAGGTATAAAAATAGGTTTTAAGATAATACTAAAAATTGTTCATAACAAAATTACATGTTATGATAAAATTTTGATGTGCGCCTTAATTGGATTGTTTAAGGTTACATCCTTATAGAAACCTATATATAATTTGCTTACCTTTCCTCCTTAGATTGTTATAACAGGTTATTCGTAATATTTGTTTGAACTTTTTGTTTCTTTTTTATATAACTCTACTTCTTGAACCTTAGTACTCGTTAAGAAGAGTCGCTTCTCTGAGATTGTTTGATAGATTCACTTTTTATATTTTGTGTTTGTTGATTATTACATGCTGGCACTTTGTAGTAATTGTGAATTTCTTGTGTTACACATGTGCATATTCATCAAAGAAATAGATTTTTTCTGCATTCGTGGAAACAAAGGACTTTGTAATGCATGTTTTACAACAATAATATTGATTGAAACAAAATCAGGCTAATACGGTATTGTCCCTGGCTTAAGATGAGTGTGCTAGCATTTCTTTTTTTAAAGCAGTGATATTAAGTGGAGTACAATAGTGATTGTTCTTCTAGTGTAAATAGAACTAAATTCATTTTTTGTTTAATTTTTTATCACATGGGTGAATGATTCAATGTGTTTTTCTTTACTTGATTTAAACTGGTTACTTGTTCTCTCTCCTCTTTTAGTGGAACATGGTTTATACATGCCAACAATGAGTTTTCATTTATGAATGATGTTCAAAAATTTAGAAGTGGGAGTCTAGGCGGGTGCTAGTGTGCCTGCTAATCTAGGCAGCCCAAACATGGATTAAGGGGTTTTAGGCCCTCAAGGGTATTTTAGGGGCTTGGAGTTGGATGCCAAAACCTCCCAAATCAATGTATATATATATATATATATATATGTATACACATCGTACGGACGATGATCCCAACCACAAGGAGCTTCCAACAATCTACGCTTCTACGGATCCGAGCCAGTCCTGCTCCCGGGAACGTACTCGCACTTGACAACAATGATTGGAGCACCTCTAGTCTAGGCATCAAGCATTAGGAATTGTAGGAAGAATTCTTAACCATCTACATCCATCTGAATTGAGAAAGCATCAACTTATGAGTTCTTCATATTTTGTTTCTGAGGCCTAATGTGCTTAGTATGTATTATGCATTATGTGGCGGAGATTCTTAGCAATTGTTCATGTGATGTTAAATATTTTTGGCATTCTGGTTGGCATGGTTACTGTGGAATGTAACCCTTGATTATGAATTGTGCTTCTGTTGCTGTCAATCATGA